CACACATATTTTTTTCTCCCTCCAATCTAAAATATAAGATGTATTAGTTTTTTGGGAAGTCAACATGCACGTTTTGATAAAATAAGTATTTTTTCTATTTTTATTTATTTTGTATTGTAGATATCAATATTTTATCTATAACCTTGATCAAGATACATAATATTGACTAGCATGAAAACTAATGCACTTTATATTTTGGAACAGACGGTGTATCTTTATTTCCTTTTTTCAAGGAGAACAGATGAAATCTTCGGAGTCTTCATGTTTATTCCATAGACTATGTCTTGGACCTCGGATCTACTTGGCATAGAGCCACATGCTTCAACAGATTTAAGAGTATGCTCGCATCTTTGGAGTTTCTGTTATACAATTTTATCATCTACTTGTACACTGAATCACATGCTGATTCACCAACAAAAAAAATCACAGAGTGATATTAAATTTGGGAATCTATATCTAACATTATTAAGAAGTTGATCCCCACTACTACCTATTCTCTCAGCATGCACAATGTCCACATCAGCAATCAACATGCAACCATCCACCTCTTTCCACCTAAGCAGTCTAGCCAAATCATCTATTCCATCATGTGATTTAGTTTTTCTTTTCCTCTTCCTTCTGTAACCAATGAGAAATCTTAAGAGCCATCGATTCGTTACGCTACTAGCAGGAGAACCCACCAGGCCACCACAGGCTGCCCACACGGGCGTTTCTCTCCTGACAACCTATCGCTCCCTTGCATTCCATGACCGGGCTATTCCTCTTCTCGGTGTGGTTCCTGCATCCATGGTCACATGGTCCTCCTTAGTTGCCGATCATATTTCGTGGTGCCATTGTAGGGAGCCGGCCTCATGGACTGGATGCGGGTGGTGGATCCAGCTCTCTGGTCAGTTGACCGGAATCCTCTGCTATGGAGTGGATGCGACGCCGGGCAGGACCTCTGTTTGACAGAGACAACCTGGAGGGGCCACCTCGCGTGCTTCCCATCGACGGCCATGAGGAGATAGAGCAGAAGATGTGCCTGAGGCTGGGACGGGTGCGAGGCACGCGGTGGGGAACCTACAGTCACTGTCCTTGGAAGACCTGCCGCAGACTCCGGTCACGACGAGCCTGCACGCCTAACCCTGGACGAGCTCAGGTCAGTCACAAATTCACGTCCAGTTTCCTCGGTGAGTTCGGCTTCGGCCCTGTCTACTGGGGCTTCATCTATGATGGCGGCCTCCGACACGCCCTTGCCCCACAGCATCTCGCCGTCAAGTACCTCGACCTCTATAGCGACGACATCCAGGGGCCGCAAGTGGCTGGTACGTCATTATTCTTTGCTGTCATAGAGAGTCCACTCACCAAGCACAGTTCGTTGGTTCGTTCGTTGATTCCGTGATTACTGTGATTCATTTTTTGTTTGGTCGAACAGGCGAATGTGGTGTATCTAGGGATGCTGAGACCCCGCACTTGCCGCAATGGTAGCCATTCTCTTCGAAAGCTGAGCTCCTTCGTGTGAGTAGGAAGTCCTGCTCCTGATTTTGGTTTGCGGCAAGAGCGACAAACTTCCGAGAGTACGGCGACAGGTTCTATACTCCGTTCTTCAGGATTTGTTTTTCCCTTCAGTATCTCCTTCTTATGTCATCAAGGATTAAAAAGGTCAAATTAAGCGTACAGAACCGATCGAAGTCAGCACTATCGTGCCTTCGGTTCCAGCCATAACCTATCGACTGATTGAGCCAAAAGGGATCCTACCGCAGAGCTTCGTGTCTCCAGTGCTTCTTGGTACGTCCTACACCCGTTCCTCATCTCCCCCACTTAGATTTTCATTATGTCTTTTAATAAACATCAATGCTAACAACAGCAGTTATTAACAAGTTACGTATCCTTTCGCATTGTCTCCCTCCCACCTCTTGATCCGAAACAGCTCCCCAACACCATTAAATCCCTCTGCAGAAACTGATCTACAAATTTATAGTTTCAGCTTCAGGTTCATTCATCTCTTTAAAATGAGCCACGAGAAGGAGGAACCACCAAAGTTGGGGACTCATGTATATCACCCATGCCGCATGTTTCATTTCTCACTAGGCTGAGCATGCAGGACAGTGTTAACAACACATGAAAGAATCTCATGAACTACTCTGCCTTCTTCGAGAATTAGGTGCGAGGTTGCTTAAATCATTAATTAGTGATCACTAGGTTGATCAACTTCGATTGTAGTCAAGAAGAATACTCTCAATTCAAGATGATCCAAACACATGAATCTGCATGAATAAAAACATGTCTTTTGGATAGTTTAGAGTTGATTCTTTATTATCAATTTATTATTCATGTTTAAGCAAAAAATTATTACAACCATGTCGAGAAGGCCACAAGACACTACAATGTATTCGTTATTTTGTAAAAATTCAAGTACCTATATGTATGATCCACATATATAAACATGAGTAAAATTACACTCCCTCCGTTTTAAATTAAAACCACGACACTTATTTTGGAACAGAGGAAATAAACCTTAGAGACTATGTACACATTGTTTGGATGTTGGCTCCACCACAGCTACAGTTCATATGTGACGAGAATGTAGAGATCTATTATTCATTAATTTTATTCTCGAAAAAATTAATATTATAAATTTCCGCAGCAACGCGCAGGGTATTAGCTAGTTTTCATTACTTGCTCTCACCCAAACCGCATGACTCTGGGCGCCAGCCTGAGTAGCTCCGGCAACGCGCCCGATGGGAACTTCCTTGCAAAGAGGTAGCAAAGCGATGTGGTCCCGCCACCATCGCTGCAGTTCCCATGGTTCCTCATCCCCTGAAGCAGGTCGACACTTACGTCATTGTAGCTATCAGGATGAGGCCCCCTTGTCCACTGGGTAAACGTGAGTGTACGGTTTGCATTCCCATGCCACTTTGAGGCGGCGATAAATGTCGGCAGGTAGTGCTCGTCCATGATGCAGGGGCCATTGCTGTGGCGTTGGAAAACCGGGAAGTAGGTCACGTCGCTGATGACCTCAAGCGCGAGACCCCGGTCAGTCGCGAACCACTGGGAGCCCTTGCGCCAATTAGCGAGCGTGACGGTGGGCGCCATGGCAGGTCTATAGCGGCCACGAGAACGTTGTGTATCGAAGTGGTCGACGAAGGAGGTAGCACCAGCGTATTGCGTGAGGTAGAAGTAGACCGTGGTGAAGTTGTAGAGAGGGACACATGTCTCAGAGAGTAGGACGAAGTGTTGGTTCATGGCATCGAGGAGAGCACTTGCGAGGAGACGACGCTCGGCCTCGACTATGCTAGACTTCCCCCAACGAGCTTCCTGTAGATCACAATAAGCAATTAAACTGCATCCTTTTGTATCCATATAGATTTGGAAAATGCGTCATTTTAGATGGGTGCACCTGCACTGCTATCTAACACAACTTTGTCTTTTTTATTTGTCCAAATAAATACAATGCATAAATTGAACATTTGCAGATCAACAGTTCATTCCACCTAAACTATACGAAAACAATATTTTTTGTGCAACATATATACATAAAATGATATAGCCAATCCGAGAAAAATCTCATTTTATATGTTTATGCTGCGCGAAAAAATGTGAGTTATTAAGATCTTGATTCAAAGCTGGACAAAATGGGTAGGGTATGCACCTAAACCAGGGTTTAGAAAGTCCACTTTCAAAACACTAAAGTGTTTGAATGGATCCAACTGAGATCATCCTCTACATGCCCTCTTAGTCGTTTCTTCTCCGTGGTGATTGCTACATATATCATGGCCACCTGCGTGTTCCGGTCCACATCGAGGACTTCTCGGCCGCTTCTTCTACAAACTCCTGGGTTTAAACAAGTTTGCTCCGCTGAGATGAGGTCTAGAGCGGCAACAAGCTTTGCTCCTCGCACGCCGTTGTTGGATGTAGGAGGAAAAATACATCGGCACCCCCAAGGATTTGGATGTATTTTTCATTTTCTGTAAGAGTGTTTTTATAAGGGTTTGTTCTATTTAAAATATATGGTCTTTGCCTTTTCGTAAAAAAAAACTGGGAGCATCATCCTGTTTACTTACAAATTAAAGTCTCAGTAAACCAGAAATATAAGCGGCATTAAAGTACTAGTTAATAAAAAGGCTGCATAAAAGATGCGATTGAACCTATGCGTACGTACATAGTACATCCCATCACTACTGGAATTGGCAACTTTGCTGAGTTCCCAAATGAAACATGGACTTTAAACTACTTGGGTCAACAAAACATTAGAGTTATAATGCATGAAAAGTAAATTAGATATTTTTTCGTCCCACATAAATAAATAAAAATATTTTTTTATTAAGCTAGTATTATTTAAAGTACTAATGGTGCACACAAAAATATGAAAGTTTTCTAATAACAGATTGCCCATCTATAGCTTTGTTGATGTGGAAACTTTTGAAGTCCCTATGCTCTCACTTTTGAGAGAAACGAAAAAGGGAAACTTCCATGTAATATAGTTATTTCGTAGAAAGATTTGAATGACATTTTGGATGGTATAGCTAAGGGTTGCACTCAGGGACGGACAATATTACAAAAAGGTCCTAGCTCGCAAGCTTAGGAAGGGCTCTGTAGCTCACCTTGCAGATAGTGTAGCTAGGCGATGGGTGTACATAGGCAGATAGCTCACCTTGCTGGGCACACGGCGGCCGTAGAAGACCGACCCCTTCTCCGGTGAGCTGAGGTATGTAGGGTCAGGGTGCACGTACACCGAGAACAGTGCAGTGTGCCCATGGAAGAACCTCTCCCACAACGGCGCCAATGGCAGCTCACCACGCACGAGGAACATGAACGCCACCTTAGGCGCGGGAGGCACCAGCAAGCTGATCCCTTTGATCCTCGGAGCCATAGACGCCCGCAGCAGCGGCTGGTCGTCCGTCATGTTGTGCAGCATCACCATGCCCCCGCTTTCGTCTCCACCACCGCCGCCACTCTCTTTTTTATCGCCGTCCCCGAGCTCCTGCGGGAGAGGCGGCCCCAGGACCAGCCCCGGAGGTGCAGAAGTAGGTGCCGCAGAGAGGTCAGCAGAGGCAAGCCAGATCACGGTACCAGTGGTGGGGAGTAGTGACTGGAGGAGGAAGGTGGACGCCATGCCGAGCATGAAAGCTACAGAGAAGAGGAGGAACCGGGAGAGGATGCCCCACGGTTTCACCATGGCCGATCTCGGCTGCGGCTTCCCCATGGTGTCGATCTCTAGCTGATTGGTGATGAACTGTAACTACCGAGTTAAGTAAGTACAGTAGCATGCAGCTTGGCTTGAGCTAGCTACTTAATTAGCTAGGCAACGGTTGACCCTGTCACTGCTTCTACTTTTTCACTTGCACGTCACTGACTTTGTGTTGATCGATGCATGCATATACATATATATTGACGTGCTACTACATAGGCTTGTTCATGCGTAGGCTTGAATCAACGGAGGGTACATAGGGGGCGTTGAACATGGGGAATGTATGCTTAGCAGACATTGGACGCCCTGAAATCCAGCAACCATTTTGGTCTTATTCCTGTGGCATTGTCAAACGGCTTCTTTGTTATCGATCAACGACTTACAAATGGAGTATATAAGAAATATGAGCCAAAATTGAAGCAACGCCTAGAAAAAGATCACCCACGGCCAACAGGGCATTGCCCCTTGTTTGAATGCACATATCATACTCACCCGCCCAAGCATGGCGCCCGTGGATTTTCTTTTATTTACTTCAGCCTGTTTTGCAAGTATGGCCCGTTGTTTTGTGAATGTAGCTCAATCAGGTGGGCATGACAATATGCCTATTTGACACGCGTACACATCACATTCGTTTATAAGCGTTTCTTGTGACAAGCCTAAACTGCATAGAGCGATCAGCCATTAATTAGCATATGCACTTCATTTGGGTATAGTATATCATGTAAAGTGGAGATGACATTTTTTGTTGTGTGCGTGTGCGCAGGTCTCTGTGTGTGTGTGTACGCGCGCGCGCGCGTGCACGTGTGCGTGTTAGACCGGGAGGAAGAGAGAGATGGGGAGGCGACACAACCAACTCGTGATGAAATATTACATGTTTACATGTGGAGAGATGAATAATCTCTAATGTTGCAGTTCTGTTGTTTGAATTTTTTGTGTGGGGACTGTTGTTTGAACATTGAGAGGATGTACGCATCAAAGTTTTAGAGCATCAAAGTTCTCTGCAATCTCTGTGCAAAAATATACTATAAGCATAAACTTCGACTATATATGTTTGTTCCTTCTAGATGCATTTGAGGATATCTCCAAGAAGTACACCTAACTAGTGACTATAATATTTTGTATAATACAAATCCGTTGGTGGATACAAAGACGGAGTGATAATGTGTCTAGATCAATGGCCTGTAACGGCCCATCCTAGATTTGCATGTAGTGGCACAAGTTAAGCCTGATTGAACATGTCAACCAGGTATTATTTTATCTTAAGTGTCTGGACAGTATGCTCGTGTAGATATTTCGGAGTCATGGAAACAATCGGCAAACTAAACAAAGATGGTGGTAAAATCGAAGCCTATCATGGGCCGCCATATTTTATATGGTAAATAAAGCCTACCACATAACATCCCTATAAATATGCTCCAGAACGAGAGGTCTATGCCTCTAAATCCAGGAGTCTTCATCTCATCTTGTAGCAGCAGTAGCAGCACAATGAGCACCGGCAAGACATCCTGGCCCGAGCTGGTGGGCACGCAGACCAATCCCGGGTTGGTGATCATCAACCACGACAGGCCTGACCTCCAGATCGTGCTGCTGCAGGTTGGCACCACCGTGAGCCCACCGGGGTTTCATGCCGAGCGCGTTGCTGTCTTCTTCGATGAGCAAACTGGCCTCATCGCAGCGGTCCCTGCAGTCGGTTAATTCGATTATCTGGCCCCGGTGCCGGCAAGAGTCATGGAGTTATTTGTAGAATGACTTTTATGCTCATAGGCATTGCAATAACATGCTATGGATTGAATAAACGGTGATTTGTAAAGAACAATGATTACTAGAATGATGCTTTTCAAATATATATCTATTACTTTTTTGCTTATTTTATATGATCTGGTCCGAATTTTACAAAATTATACCATTTCACTTATGATTTTTACATAAGAGAATTTCCTATTTGGTCAAGGATAAAAATGTTCTTCACTTGGCAAGGGTGTACAGTGCCCTCTCCCTCCCTCCCTCCCTCCCTCCCTTACTGTATTATACATTCCTGTCTATACTCTTAAGAAATTTAATAACATGCATACCAACGGCAAAACTGCCTGGTCTCACATAACAAGGTTAGTAGCGAAATTGATGCAAATGTCCTCTTAGTAGCAAAATTAAGACTGAGTGCCAAACAGGTTTTCCATGAACAAATAGGGAAGCATATTTTCATGTAGGGCTGAATAAGGAATCTCTCATTTTGTATCAGTATGTTGTTTCTGTGTCACACCTAGCCATATAAACTGTAAAAACTGGTGCATTTTTCGTTGTTCTTAGTAATAAATTTATTTTTTCCAACATAATTTACAAAAAAGTATCAACATATCCGAAAAAACATAGGCAACCACATACTAGTATCACTAAATCTGAAATCAAATATGTTTTCTTATATTGAGACATACTAGCTGATACCCGCGCGGCGGCACGCCGCGCCTTACTTATTGGCAGTGATATATGTTGTTGTATAGTAAGTAAATATTCTTATGTTGATGATTTTTTTCCGAAAAAGAGATTGGCACATTTAGTTCGGCATTCATTTTTTATGGGATGGTGATCAAAGGAAGGGAGAAAATATTGGTTGGCTATTTCGATCGATGAGATCAATGGAATTTTATATAGTTTTGGCTCTCTTCCCTTTAAACTTGAGCGGAGTGTATGCATGTTATATGAGACATATGTGGATCGAGTTCTTATACATGAGGTTTGATGTGTGGATCAAGCTCAAAACATGTGTTATCGATGCACACGTGTTACATATTCATGTGAAGGATGATGATACGATTTGTGTAGCTTGTGGTACAATGGGTTCTTTTTTATAGATATTGTTCGATCTCGAATGTTCTAGCCTAAGGGAGATGGTGCTAAAATAGGATTCGTTGTGTCTGCGGCATTGCATTGTTTCTGTATATTGTTTTTTATGTGGACTAAACTAATCATAACCTTGGAGCTATACGGATGCTATGTGGACTTGAGGAAATAGAGTGCAATACATAAAGGAAAAAAGAAGATTTTATTTCTTATAGCGATAGAGTAGATGTTCTACAGTGTTCTGGTTTTCCCTCCGTGATAATGTAGTAAATAACTTGACCGAATTATTGAACTTGGTTGCGTGCTGGTGTTGGGCCAGTATATGGATTGTAGGATCATTGGTAGCTGGGTGTTCCGAGCACATGTGATACAATCTAATATGTCGTTTTGGTACATGTGATACAGTCAAATCTTTATTGGGTTACATTGCATCACCTTGGGCAGTATATAAGTCAGGAATTCGAGAACATGTCAAGTTTATTTATTGATGTCATTGCCCCCTTGTGTATTTAGTAGGAGGTCGATGAGTTTAATAAGGTTAGCTACACGCTGTTTGTGAAGTGTGCAGAACGGTATCTTTTGTGAAAACATGGATTGACAACAATCGTGGGAGTTCCACGTGAAGAGGAATGAAGATGTGAAACTTGCATGATGAAAAATATTGCCCAGATCTAAATGACATACATGTACACGAGAGTAGAGGGATGTACAACATAACCGATAAGAATAACAGACTGAAAAACCTTAACAAACTGACTGGCTAACAGTATAGTCAGTGTTACAACATGAAGGATCACTCCCATATTGTGCAGAAGTGTACACAAAGAGCATAGTATATGTTCCTAAGAGTATGAACATCCATGAGAAAGTAAGAAATTTGCATACATTAGGAACTCGTTTCAGCATGAAATAGTTCATGTGTCGTCATATTTTCTCAGTAACAATTGCAGAGCATGATAAGAAGGATAGAACAATACTAATAGTTCCATTAGCCGGTTAACTACACAAATCATTTTCACCTTTTCTGCCCTATGATTCTCCGGAGAAATATCCTCCTCAAAGGGCTGCGAGGAAAAGGCATCCTAGGAGATATAGAATTTGGGAAATTCGTTACAAATCCTACGGCCACATCCAATAAAAACTGAAAATTCGAATATGCAAACACTGGAGATAATGGATCCTTTACTGGATAGGTTCGAAATTATTGCTGGACAAATATTTTCTAATGTACATTCAGGTCAAAAATTGAAGAAAATAATGACATGGAATGTGGACCCACTTCTTTTGATAGCCTCGTACATGAGCCTGGTGCAACATTTATGGAAACAAAGATGGTAGTGGCAAACCATACAATATTGCAAATCTGTTCAACAATTCCTCAAATGCACACATGCAAAGAAAACAACAGATGACCATCCATAATGTGTGTCAGGCATCAATAATTAAGGTTAGGAAATGTATGTCAGGCATCAATAATTAAGGTGAATGAGCAGAAGCTTGCCTTGTTTCAAAAGAGACACAAAATAATGATGCAGAATGGCTATGAACATCCATAAAGGTTTTAGGAGTGACAATGACATCATTTACAAAATCTTAAATCAAAATAAAACTATATTGATAATCATGCCTAAAAGGGAAAAAAAGGAAAAGTAGCTGCAACCAAACGTCATTGAACTGATGGAGTGACATATGAGAACACCCCTCCCAACAGAACATTCTGACAAAGAGGATGTTAATTTTTCAGACTTTTTTGCAGAGACCGTGTAATCTCCCCATCTTCTAAATGATCATCAATACCTAGTTCATAAAAAAATGACATAACATTAAAATGGTGCTTTCTATCAACTCTTCATTTTTTACAGCCTCCTTAACCTACAACTGCTATTTCAAGATAGGCAATTTAATGTCTCATACAACCAGACAATAGAATATAAATTAGAGAGTATCAGAACTGGTTTAGATTGTATAATACAAGCCTAGTGTTTCCTTTCATTTGATCTTTCTCTGTAAATAATAGTACAATAGTGCGATCAAAGTGAAATAATTAAACAAAGCAACATCCGGTGACTTATATAAAAATACAATATGGCACCTAATATTCAGGAACCATCATGAGTTTGCTTCTGATACGAAACAAAGAGCTATATACTCCAGTTACTAAGAAATACGGTAGTGTA